GTAATAATAGTAGGAATTATGATAATCACATTGGTAATACCGGCTTTGTAATAATAAGTTTATCTACATTTTAAGTTTATGGTCTTAACCAATTATCATTAATATTGATGAATGCCACAAGTCTCTTATGCAACTTTAAGAGAAAGTTTACTCATTTCCTCTTAGCTTTATCAGTGATAACGAAATAATATAACTAGTATTGATAACGTAATATTCGACATATTAGATTTTGAGCAATTACTGTCGTATCAATTATTAATTACTAGCAGTACTAATTACAGTCACAATTACTGATAACGGTGATATGATTAAAGTGCTTAAACAAATAGTGATAAATAATGAGTGATAAGCATATCCGATTTTTACTCTATTAATATTTTATTCTTTTCTTTTTCTAAAACATTTAAGGCAGTATAAATACAGAATAGATATTTCGCGCATGACACTTTACTATGGAAATTTAATAATCCTATCTTGCTTTGCCTTTTAGGCTATTCTTCTTCATATTAGAAAATAATTAATTTTATATGACCTTCGATGATCACTCATTCATTTTATTCCTTAGCATTAATTATTCCATCACAGAATTTTGCCTTCTTCATTTTGCGAGCCCTTACAGGTATTTATTTTCTTCTTAAATTTACCGACAATTCCTTTAATGCTTCGTTAATTCATCTTAGTATACTCTTCTAAACATTTTATTTTATCACATTCAACAACGTCTAATTACACATACAGCATAAGTAAAGGTCAGCACTAAAAGAGTAAGGTTAAGCATGGCCTAATTAATAGATACCATTTAAATGAGAAAATAGATTAAGTCAAAACATAAAGGTCACAGATAGATAAACGATACTCTATTGATAATAATATTAAAAGTATTAGTTTTATTAATCTTATCGGCAAACTTAGTATCGATATAATCAATCTTGTTTATTTTTCAAGGCACTTTTCCATCTTTCTATTAATTTTTAGCTCAAAAACTGATATCATTCATTTTCACGCAAAAAATTGCTGATATTAGTAAAGATTTGCCTTTGAATCACTTTTTTCTATTTGTCAAAATATTTTTTCTGTATTTCGCTGTGCAATATTTTGCATAAATTGACTAATCTTTACAAATGTGACTGAAAGTTTAAGTTTTAATTTTCTGTAGTTTTCAGCAGTGATAAAATCTAAACAATCATGACGATGTTTTGCTTAAAAAATGTTTTTTAATTCATTTGTAATAGTAGAAAACAAATATTTCATTTGTAATAGTAGAAGAAAAACAAATATCTAAATACTGGTGCTTAGAAAAATCTCATAAAGTGAAGGACTTCATCAATTTTAACCTTTAAATATAATTTTAACCTTAAAATGAAAGGTCAAATAGCCAATAATAAATCTACTGCCATGAATGCAAGAAAATAATTAATACGAGATAAATTAATTAAAACAAAACTAATACAATTAAATTATTAGAAATAATAATATAGTGAAAGAGTTTGCAAAAACAAATGCTTAAAGATGAGCACTGAGTGATTTACAAGTTAAAACTTTGGATGAATGAGGAAAACTATCAAAAATCAAATCAAATCAAGGAAAACTACATAGTTTATTAATAATAACTATACTATAATTCAATTTTTATTATTTACTACTTTTATTATTATTATTATTACTATTATCATTATTATTAATATCACTATCACTGCCAACTGCATTATTACAAGGACACAATTATTACCTTCATAGATGCTACTATTAATTCGAAATTGATCTAAAAAAAGACTTTCAATAATTCTTGTTTGTTTTTAGCATAATCACATGCAGTTTTCTCTTCAAATACGCATCATTTTAAACATTAGCAGATAGAAAACGATTAAGTTCTGTACTCATTCATTCACGTGATTGAGAAGGATTAGTGAATCACATACAATAACTTTTAATAATTGTAATAAAAGACTTTAAAAAAAGGGACACAAGCACTGATATAAACAATTATATTGTTGAATATATAAAATTTCGTCTTCAATTTTCAGTGCTGAAGAAAACTCGCAATTTTTATCTTTTTGATTGTTTAATTTGGCTAAACGAAGGAGGCAACTTGAAGGATAAACTAATGATTGTACAATTTTGCGCTGATTACACTTTCGATAAGACTTGTTAGGCCTCAACAGATTCATTATAAATTAATTCGATCATTCTAGCTAGCCTATTAAAAGCTATCTATCGATCGTTACTTAGACAGAAATTTTGCATTTCATTCCAAATTTATTTATTTATTTAATATTTTTTGCAAATTTGTTTTTATAAAATGTTAGACATTTCTTTCACTTTGTACATTGCAAGCAAGTTAAAAAATACTGAATGAGTTTTAAAAGTATACAAAAATTTTAGAGAAAAAAATCTGTGCAATTATTTGCTAAATAAAACTATGAAATAGTAGCAGCTCACTTGCACAATCTATTTTCAGTTTCAGTTTGGATTTTATAAGCTCAAATAGTCACTTTTATTAGTGATATCATTTAGAGATAAAGTTTAAGTAACTAATTTCCTTTTATCAAATTTGTATATTAGAAAATATACGAAGAAATTTGCATCTCACAGCTTGCAAGAATGTGAAAGAAATATGCATAATTTCTAGCAATACAGTGTCATTGTGCAAACTTTGTAAGCTATAAAAACATACAATTACTGTCCAAAAGCTATGATATTTTTCTTCTCAGCATTTTTTCTTTGGGAAACTAAAGAGTTATCAGTATTTAGCAGAAGAATAAAAAAGTGAAAAA